TTTTTTTTTTTTTTTTTGTCCACTGCAGTGCGTAATGGTCCTGAAAGTGGCAGCAAGGTTTTGGTTGAGCTCCCACGATCTCAATGCAAGGATCTCCCCAAAAGCGACGTGTTGCAAGATGGCAAATGGAATCATCTCCGTGGGCCGTTCAAGGAAGTCCAGTGGAACAAAATGGAAGGGCGCAACTTTGTATATAAAATGGAGCTCCTCATGGCAGCCCTAACCCCCTGCTATTAGTCCAGCATTGCACTGAGGAGGACTTTGACTTCCTCTAGTAATAGTAAGCTGTTACAAGTGCAGCAAAGAGACACTGATCCTGGACAGTACTACACAAAGTGTTCAGGCTTGCAAGTCTGTACAGACACATCTATCACAATGTCTAAGGCACAAACGTTCTTGCTATGTGAACTGTAATTTTTTTTTTTAAATAAAACTTTCAGTTAAAATAGAAAACACCATTTTTTCCTAGGTGTTTTGTTCTTCGTGTTCTTACATCAGAGTACAGTTTTATCAACTGCAGATTCCTAAAAATCCAGCTTTGGGACTACATGCAGGAACTGAGAGAACCTCTGAGTATTCATGGGATTACATTTCTGAAGCACTTGCCCTAAATGAACAATGAGAATAGCAGTACAGCTGTCTAGGAATATTTTTACTGTGCTTCAGATGGAGTTGGCTTTGACAGACTTCCTTTATAAAATTAAATTCAGCAGGCAGTTTATTGCTTCAAGGAAGACAGCTCTTCAAGTGTGATTGAATGATATTTGCAATTATCTTGGAAGACCTCCTGAAGGCAAATTGTTTACCTAAAGCATGTAAGGGAGCAGGCCTGATATTCATGCATGTCAGGTGGCTTGGAACTATAGCAGCTAGTGGATCTGTTTGGATGCAGATGGGACCAGGAGGGAGACTGAGAGCCCACACTGAATGACTAAAGCTACCAAAAATTCATGATTCAGGCCATCCTTCTGCAGCAAGTCCCTGACTTGAACCGTGTCCTTGTGTGCACCTGTGTGTGCCCTGTAGTTCTCTTTTCCTCTTATGTCCTTTCCATTTATGTCTTGAGAAGCAATTTGTCCACACCAAAGGCCTAGAAGTGAATTTGGAAATGCATGCAGACAGTTCTCCTCTGCAATATAAAGTTTCATTTCTTCCTGGGAGAAATTGTACAATCTTTGCTTTCTCCTTTGTCTGAGGAAGGGCACGAGCCCAAAAGTTTACAAATAAAGACATTTTTTGCAACTATCTAGTTGGTCTAATAAAAGATACCATCTCTACCCCAAGAGTTCTGACTGCTTTTGCCTTTAGATCAACATGGATACAACCTATATCCCTGCAGACAATAATGCTCTTTAATGCGTATTTGGTGGCAAGTCTACCTCTAGTAAGCATGAATTAGGTTAGTGGGGAGCAAACCTCTTTTGGCAGGTGGGCTGCAAATTAGTTAAGCATCTTCTCAAGCTGCCATTCTGATCCCTTTCCCTTACCTGATCTGCCATTCTGCTTTCTGCTCTCTGACCAAGCTGCTGCTGCTCTTTCCTTCCTGTCCTGTATTCCCTACCTGATCTGATGTTCTGGGTTTCTGCTCCCTGCTCTATCTGCTGCTGTTCTGCCTCTTTCCCCACCCCGTTATTCTGCATGCCACACACAGGCTGCCCATGCTGCTTGTGGTACCTGTCTGCAGGTTGGCCACTACCGTTGCATAGACCTACTTCAGTTCAAGTCAACGGGCCCCTTGTTATCTTTGCTTTTTTCCTGCTCTATTTTTATGTAGCATCTGAATGAGGTTCAAGCCAAGGGTTTTCTTATCTGCCTCTGAGCCTGGATTGAGAAGGTCCCTGTTGTAAATGAATTCATGCACAAACCTTACGTGTAAATCCTCATTAAGCTGGAGCAGAGCTGTCCTGATGTACCCCTCTCATAAGTAAACTGAGCTGATGACATTCTCGTCCCTTCTGCATTGATGTTTCCCAGGCCAAATGCAATGGTTGCATAAACACCTTCTTTAGCACAAGGTGTTTTATGTTCCAGGAAAGCTGAACAAGGAGGAATTGGAGAGAGTTTTAAGATCATCCATAGGGCAGGGTGCAAAACTGTCTCCTACTTGAGGGTGAATTGCTAGTGATCTGTTTTAGGTTATGTCGCTATGTAAGTTTTAGACTCGTGCATACTGGACAGCCTTGGTGTACAGCTGGTAGCCTGCAAGTGGTTACATGCAGCCCCCTGTCACCTTGGTCTTGGGGCTCCTTGTCCTTCCCCTGGCTTCTGCCTGGCTCAACCCCATGAGCCTAGGCAGTGCAGTGTAGGCTGCAGTGCTGGTAAGCTGGCATCCCAAACCACTGTGATGCAGTGCCATGGGGGGGGGCCCACAGGGAACTCCTGGTGAGGTGCCAGGCTGTGTGGTGGGCAGAGTGGGGGAGCACCCAGCCTTGTGCAGGATGGAGGAGTTCCTGCCCTCATGTACTGCAATAGTAGGGGGAGAGCTGCCCATGTGTGTGAAGCACAGCTTGTGGGGGAGGCAGAGGGGGAATCTGTGGCCCCTACTAATATGACCCCTGCTGGTGCAGCTCCCCAGCTGCTTGGAAGTTAGATAGGCCTGACTGTACACTGAGGTAAATGGGTCCCTATCTGATTGTGCAGTAACCATGAAGGTCACCAGGAGAACATAGTAACCGATAGCTGTAGCAATTATCTATTGGGCAATTCATTCTGGGACATGGTCTGATGTGCCTGGCCTAGACAGTTATTGTAATTGCAATGATAATTACCATCAGGGACCATAAAGTTATTGCTACATGTTGAAGCTGTACTTTCTATACAACTGATCTGTGAGATTTGAAAGCGACTCCTGTCACCTGCCTGTGGAGGGGTGTATTTTCACATGCCCTGTGGAGTAAATGGGGCGGGGGTGGGGAATGTCTATTGACAACAGTTTATGGGGCTTTTACTGCATGATGGGTAAATGATATGCAGGATTTAATATGCTTTATAATGAGTAGTTATTGTCCAATTCCAGTTAGAGGAAGGATGATGACAAATGGAGAAACAGAGACAAAGGGCTTAGCGGTCTGTTGGAGACATGAGTCCTCCTAGCCCCCAGGCCTGTACTCATACTGCTGTCATATTTGTCCTGCACATGAGAATGTAAAGTACAAGTAGTAGAGCTTACACTGTGCAGCAAACTGAAAAGATGGGACTTGCTTTGGCATTTAAACTGGCATTGGGACTATCGCTACTTCAGACATGTAGCAGGTTTCCCCTCCCCTTATGTCACAGATTGAGGTCATAGTGCAGCTGTGAAGTTGCTAGGTTTTGTCACTTTCTGCATTTTCCTAAAGAAAGCAAATGCATGTGGCATGTTGCTTCATTTGCAAGTGGTGCAGAAAGGCTTTGCATGGGTGATGCTGGCCAAGGATTAGGCCCTTAAAGAGCCTGACTTTCAAAAATGCTGAGCACTTCCCAGCTCCCACTGGAAATTCCTAGGGGCTCAGTACTCAAGACATTTTAGACATTCAAATTTGCCAAGTTGGAGCAGTCTTCACCTTCTATAGGCAAACATTATAACAACAATACATTCCAAACATTTAGTGCACTTGAAGTCAGAAGAACATACTGTTATCCTAGGTCAGGGGTTGACAATGTTTCCTGGTAGCAAGCTGGAAGACTTGCTACCAGGAAACATTAGGTAGCAAGCAGGTCTGAGATTTACTTGCTGCCTGGCAGGGGCACAGCCTGGGCAAAGCCACGGCTCCACAGGCCAGATCTAAAGGCTCTGCAGATTGTGGGGACCCTTGTCCCAGACTGTTTGGAAATAGTTGTATTAAATCTTCCAGTTACTGTGCAGAGACAGCTGTGTTAGTACATCACTTTTTCCAGTTGCTGGTCCGCAGTCCTCAGTTATTAACTATAAATACTTTAATCCTTGTGCCAGTAACTTGTGAGCATTAACTCCAGATGGTTTAGCTCTGCATTTCTTACACCTAGCAGCAGTAGTACATTTTGAAAAATATTTGATTTATTTTGCATAGGAAATGTATTTTTTACTTTGTCAGGTTAAATTTGAGATGAAATGGGACTCTTACAGAACAGTAAAAGCAATACCATTGCAATAATGCCTAGTGCATGTAGTCATTAAATATGCTTGTATCATTCGAGACCTGACCATAGCAGTACTCCAATGCATTAAAAAAATGAAAGTGAACTTAGCTGGCACCTGTATGTGAAATTGAATAGTCAAGGGTTAGAGGCCCTAAATCAATGTTTCAGTAAGCAAGCAGAGCAAGGGAGACAAAATAACCAATATAAAATGGAGATGGTTTGTTTTGTTGTTAATGCATTTTTAAAAGTCTGATAATTTTTTAAATTGTGCTCTTTAAATACTACGCTAAAATTGTCAAGAGGAAGTAAATCCAAGATAGTGATGCCAAATGACATCTTTACTGCATCACTATGGACTTGTACCATTGCTAATTATTAACTTTCATCGTGTAATGGTCAACAGAAAAAATGCTGATAGGAAGATGCACATTCCCTGTATAATTATGCCAACTTTCTTTCTTTCTTCTGTGCGCCAACTATAAGATCCTGGCGAAGACGCTGGCGAACTGTCTCCGCACCATCATAGCCTCTGTCATCAGGCTGGAGCAGAGCTACTGTGTCTCAGGCAGGACCATCCAGGACAACCTGTTTCTGCTGCATGACCTGCTTGCGGCAGCGGAGCTTTTTGGCCTGGACGTCGGCTTGGTCTCCCTGGACCAGGAGAAGGCCTTTGATTGCGTCAACCACCGGTGCCTGCTCGGTACCCTTGAGGCTTTTGGCTTCGGGCCTCTTTTCATCACAGTCCTCCGGGTCCCGTACCACGACGCCTCCAGCCTGCTCAAGGTGAACGGCGTGCTGTGCTCCCTGTTCCCAGTGTGTCGCGGCACACTCCAGGACTGCCTGCTCTTGGGCATGCTGTACGCACTGGCCATCGAATCACTGCTGCACGCTCTGCGACATCGCTTGACCAGCTTAGCCCTGCCACCAGCACCAGGCCCGATCACCGGCCCCCCGATCCGGCTGACGGTGTACGTGGACGATGCGATAGTCTTCCTGGGCAGCTAGGAGGATGTGCAGGTCCTGGTGGACTGCCAACGCCCCTACGAGCTCGCTGCATCGGCCCGCATCAACTGGGGCAAAAGCAACATGCTCATGCTCGGGACGTGGACCGTCAGGCCACCTCTGGACCTGCCGGGGGGCCTCGCCTGGCCCTGGGAGGGCCTCAAAGCCCTGGGAGTGTTCCTGGGGCCACCGGCCTTTGCAGCCCGAAACTGGGAGGGCCTGGAGGAGGAAATGGAGACCCGCCTGCAGTGCTGGCGCTGGCACTTCCCTGCCCTCTCCTACCGCGGCCGGGTCCTCATCACCAACAACGTGGTGGCAGTGACCCTGTGGCACCACTGCGCCACGCTTGACCCTCCGTCGGAGCTCCTCAAGAAACTGCAGCAGCTCCTAGTGGACTTCCTCTGGGACGGACGCCACTCGCTCCCATGAGCCGCCCTTTACCTGCCCACTGCCGAGGGGGGCCAGGGCCTGATTGACCTGGCCAGCAGGGTGGCTGCCTACTGCCTGCAAGTCCTCCAGCAGCTCCTGTATGCCGAGGGCCACCTCCCGTGGTGGCAGCTGGCGTGCTGGTTCCTGCACCGAGTGGGGGGCCTTGGCTTTGCCCGGGAGCTCTTTCTGCTGGACCTCACCTTCCTGAATGGGGCGGTCCTACCCCCGTTCTACTGCAGCATGGTGCGGGCCTGGCGGGCTGCCTTCCATCTCTGCCCCCAGGCCAGGTGCCTGCATTTCCCACAGCTGCTTCAGGAGCCCCTGGTCCACAACCCGGCCCTGCAGCATGTCGTGCCGAGTCTGGCCTCCGCCACCTTGTGGCTGCTCTCATCGAGGTACACACCACCTGCCTGGGGCACCTCCTGGACCCTGCTCACTCGGGCTGGCTGTCACCCGAAGCCCTGGCTGCCCGGATGGCATTGCACTCCGTCCACACCGCAGGCCGGTTTCTGCACACCGTTAGGGCCGCCCTCCCGACAGAAGCAACAACCACCCTGGAAGACTACCTCCAGGCTCACCAGGCCCTCCCCACTGCATACGCCACAGGTGACGCCTTCCCACCGCTGCCAGTCAGCCCAGCGGTGTCCAGTGAGCTGGCTGACCGGCCCAACACAGTGCTTAGGCTCCCTGTGCCCCCCAGCAGCAATATGGGCTGCCCCTTTGGCACGCTGCCTCAGAAGGGACTCTATGCATGAGTGATGCGCACCTGGCACGCCCAGGTGCTGGCTGGCTGCCCCGACACCGCATGGCGTGGTCCGGGACCCCAGCGTGGTGCACGCTCCACAAGGCGCCCACCGCCAAGAAGACCGGTGGCCTCCAGCGGAGACTGGCGCATGGCATCCTGGTCACTGGGACCTTTGTGCGCCACCTAGACCCGGTGGCCTCGGCGGCCTGCCCCTTCTGCCCAGGGGTGCTGGAAGAAGACATTTTCCATGCCTTCCTTGACTGCAGCTGCTCTTTGCCGCCCTCAGGGCGCTGCTTTGGGCACTGGGCTGGGACTTCTCAGCAGAAACCTACATCCACTCCTTCCCGTACCAGGCGGCTGAGCGGGCCGCAGTCAGCCTGGCCAACTTCCTGGTGGGCCAGGCCAAGATGGCCACCCTGAAGAGCTGGCGAAACCAAATCACCGGGATCAAGATGCACGACGCCCTGCAGCTGTTCCGCCTGCTGGTGCGGGCCCGCCGCTCTCTTGAATTGGAGCATGCAGTCCTCCGGCAGATGGTGTCCACCTTTGAGGAACACTGGGCCATCGACGGAGCACTGTGCCGAGTCGAGGCGGGACACGTGCGCCTCGCCCTGTGACACCACCAGCTCCTCAAGGTGTAGAGGCACACCCAGCAAGATGAGACCTTGGGCTTTGTCCAGACGGGCCGACCCCTGATGTCCTGAGGCCCCCCTGTGTGTCTCCACTGGCAAGATATGTATATATGTAAATACTTCTTTTGTTCTTTGTGTTTTTTTGTTTTTCTTTGTCTAAAGTGTGCGGACAGGCCTTGCAGGCTGTGTGCCCAGGCCTTGTCCTCGAGGCCCAGGTCCTTGGACCGAACTGTACATAATTTCTACTGCCCACCTTTTGTCACCCTTCCCGGAATAAATGTCTCTTAAAAGTCAAAGTCTTTCTTTCTTTCTTTCTTTCTTTCTTTCTTTCTTTCTTGTCTACTTATGTCTAGTATACACACTGTGTGTACTTGCTGTGCCTTAGTGATGGGTTTAACATGTAAAGCTTAAATCTCTTGAAGAATGACAAAAAATAGCCATCAAAAATGTATGCAGAGCAAAGCCTGTGAGCTGAGCTGAGTTCCTTTTTGTCATCAATACTGCACTGTCATGGTCCTTCCTGAAGCACTTAGAGTATGTTATAAAGATATACAAGCATAATAAAACAGCCCAAACTTCAGTCCTTTTATATACCCATTAACTTTTCGTCATTATTTTTCAGTCTATAATCAATTTTCTTCAAGAAAGGAAGAACTTAACTAAGATGCTCCTTTTCTGGGGTGTAACTACAGAGCTATGATATGCCACATCTCTGAATACTCAGCACATCAGTGTGATCTACTGTTGCAGATATCAGGGATGTAATGTACATACTTAATGCAGTATCATCAGCAAGGTGGTGAAAACTAGGACTAAAAAGAACCTCAGCAAGTCAGTTAGTCCACTGCCCTACTTAAGGCAGGATCATTGTTAGCTAAACCATTGGGAGCCAACTGGTTTTGGCAGGCATAGCCCCACACCCTCCCTGGGGCCACTCCAATCCCCTTTCCCTACCCTGTCTGCTGCTCTGCTTTCTGCCACTATGCCACCTGTCCCCTTCCCAATCTGCTGCATGCCACACCCACAAGCTGTGCGCCCCATTTAGGGGACACGTGCAGGTTGGCCACTGCTGAGCTAAGTTGTCCCAGCCAAGTGTTTGTCTAACTCATTTGTAAAAATTTCCAAGGATGGAGATTACACTATGAAAAACTTGTTTCAGTACTTTAACCATACCCTCATAGCAAGAGTCTCCAACCTAAATTGCGCTTGCTACAATTTAAGACCACTGTTCCTTGCCCACTCTCTTGCAGCCATGCAGAACAGACCATCACTAATCTCTTATACAACCACCCTTCAGGCATTTGAAGACAGTTATCAGATCCTCACCCTCCCCATCCAGTCTCCTCTTTTCCATGCTAACCTCAGTGCTTCCAACCTTTCCTCATAAATCACACTTCTGAGACCCTATAATTTCTGTTGCTCTCTGCTGGGCTCTTTCTAATCAGAACTAGACACAATATTCCAGCAAAGGCCTCACCAGTGCTGAATACAGTGGAAGACTCACTTTTGTTATACATCCCAGCGTGTGCTACTGGAACAGCTGAAACAATAACAGCCCACCCTTGACTCTTCAACACTATGACTCCCAGGCTGTTTTCTGAAGTACCGCTGCCCAACCAGTTCCCAAGTTTTTGTGCTTCTGATTGTTGCATTCTACGGGCAGGACTTTGCAGTTGTCTTTATTGGATTTCATCTAATGTGGGACTATTCCTTTAATTTATCAAGGTTATTTAGGGTTCTAGTCTTGTCCTCCAAAGTATCCTCTACTCCACCTATTTTGGTGTCATCTGCTAATATATCAAGTGTGCACTCAATCCCATCTGCCAGATCAGCAACCTCCAGATACCCCAGTGAAAGTTAGCTGCCTCTGTTAACCTGAAGTGAGGCAGAAGGCAGAGCAGGATGCTACCTTAGATGCTTCTGAGGGGAATGAGCTTTAGCAGGTAACAACCTACTTCATCAGGTGCGAATGTAGTCCTCTCAAGTGCAGCTATGAATGCAGGTGCAGAGAGCAGGGGTTCGAAAGAGAAGGATATTTAAATACAAAGGATAAGGGAGCAGGGGAACTGCTGAGAGGTGTAGGTGGATTGAACAGGTCAATAGGGATAAATAAGGCAGTTAATGAAGAACATAGGGCTTAAAAACGGAGCTGCTCTTGAGCCCATGCTTAACACAATGCAGTCTGAATGATTTCTTGATCTGTAATGTCAGCCGCCCTCCCCCGGTCCCCTCCTCCCCAGTGCCACTTGCCACATCCTCCCAGTTAAATGGAGCTACTACTGTTCTTTGAACACAGGGATCCAAGCAGTGATTTCCACCCCCTTGTTCACACACTGGTGAACAAGGGGTAGGCTCTGCAGCAGTTAGCTGTCTGCAGCTCCCCAAAATGCAGCAGAACGGTAAGAGAGGCTCCTGTCTCTCCCTGTCTACCATAGACCGGAGCTTAAGTGCCTGTCTTTACTTCCTCTGTATACCAGGCCCTTGGCACCTCAGTTCCCCACTGGGGTATTATAATAACACCCTTCTGTGTCACCTGGGCATTTTGAGAATAAATACATTAAAGTCCATGAGGTAAGTTGACTTGGATAGGATTTAGGAATCTCACTCTTTGAAGAACTGAGCCTTGGATAGTCTGTCTAAGACATCAGCCTCACTTAAAAATAAAGTGAAGCTGGAGTGACCTCTCCAGGACACAAAAGCCTGGACAGTGGATATGAAGACACAGCCATTTTGCATGTTTCCACACACTTGGTGAGACAGCCTTGGATAATGCAGTAAGAAACACTATTCGGTCGACCCGTTGAAACACAAGGTGAAACAGAACAGTGCCATTTCACGCAGCCCTACAGTTAGCTCTCCTAGCATTTTCTTACAACATACAGAAGTGAAGGCAGGCACGGTTCTTTGGGTAAATAATATATGATATCTTTTTATTAGACCAACTAAATAGCTGGAAAAAAAGTTCTTTGCAAATTTCTGGGCACAAACACCCTTCCTTAGGCATTGGGAGACTCTGTTGCTGTTCTGTGTTCTCAGAGGTGGAGAAGAAAGTAAGGTAAAGGAGAAGTCTCTGTAATGCAAATGTGTGGAAATTTGGAAGACAAAGGGTAGAGACACGAGGGGAGGGAGGGAGGGGAATGTGTGAAGCAATGCAAGTAGTGAAGGTGTTTTCTCTTGCTGAAAATTATTTCAAAGCCGTAATCTTAACTTTAAAAGTAATGAACTCTTCCTTCTGAGGCAGACTCAATCATTCCATGGCCTGTGTCTCAGAAATACTTAGGGCTCAGTGCTTTTAAGCACCAGGTAATTTTTTCCACCCCACCAGCAACCTGGTATTTTATCTACCAATAATTGTTCCTGTCCTTGTCTACTGACTGGCATCACTTTCTCTACCTCTGCATCGTTCCTTGCTTACCACCCTTCCATAAGAATATAAGGTCTGTGTTTAGCTTCTTGGAACAATGTAAACAACCATAAAGACATTGAATGATGGCACTCGATGTCTCAGCCACTTTTA